GAATCGTATTTTATCTCTTATTAATGCTTTTTATTTAGGTCAACTTATTGACGATATGACTATTTCACTAGCTCAATAAACGTTACAAATGGCAATGATAACTAAATACTATTGCTAAGCTGCTATTTAAGTTTATCAGCTTTTCGAAAACTTAGGAGTCCAAAGAATATTCGATACTCAATGTTTAACCTTAAATATTATTCAACAATTGAAGTCTAGTGAATATCAAGCTCTCGTATTAAAGACTCTTGATATTTCTGCAGGAGCAGAAATCTTAAGTGAGAAGCAATGTAAACGGATAAATATGATGCAACTCATGTAGCGTAGAAGATTGACTGATTTGACATAACTGATATATATAACATATCAGACATATGTGACATATATAACATAGTTAACATATTAGACATAGTTGACATGATTGATATATTAGATATAGTTGACATATTAGACATAGTTGATATATTAGACATGTTAGTTATATTTTTCTATATAATTTATTTTATATAAATAGGTAGCTTTTTAGTTCATATAAAAAAAAGACAAATAGGAATTTGGTAAGATAGTTTTAGTAGTTTTAGAGGCAACTGACCTACTGCGTCACCTTTTAGTTTAGTATTTCATTTCTTTTCTTTTCTTATTTTTCTTTTTTATTTTTCGTTACTTTTTCTTTATTTTCTTTATCTTTATTATTATTTTACTCATGAATAAACAATATTTACAAATATATACTACTGGCCATTTGTTGAATCGTAACTCATTGTGATAATATAAATATTTTGATAAATCGTCTGAGTTAAAGCTTGTAAACTGTTGAAAGATTACTGCTCAATTAAAAAGAATAAACCACTCAAACACCTCGTCTAATAGTCATAATTTGCAAGAATTATACGTTAATAATACCATTATCGAATAAATAAAATAAAGGCATTTTTTCTTTATATAAAAGTAAAATTACACTTTATTTATATGTAACTACTAAAAAGATCATCAAAATGTAAAGATATAATTGATAATATAAATGATAATTTTAATTATAAGTTCTTAAATAAAGCAATTTAAATATAAAAATTTATTATATTATTTTAATGGTAAAAATTTAAATAAAAAAAAGGTTGAGATGTAAAATTTGAAAATTATACAGGTAAATTTAAGTTACAAAAATCTAAAAATAATTTTAAATAATAAGTTAAAAATAGATTTTTTATTTTAATATTATAATAATAGATAAAATGTTTATATGATGAGGTATTGATAGTATTAAAAAATTATAAGGAATGCTTGATTGAATTTTATGTTGGAATGACAAAATCTAGGAATTAAATGTGATGAATAAACAATGTTTGTTATTGATTTTTGTGCTGATTTAAAATTTAATTTTGGTTAGTATATGTTTTATCTTTATGCTTATATAACAAAAATTTTATTAATTAGTTTGTTAACGCAGGTAAATTGTTTCAATTATTTTTTTTTTTTTGAAATTTGGATTATTTTGTTTTCAGTTGGTTTTTGATAACTTCAAATTGCAGTGATAGTTGATTTTTTTTCAGTATGTAATAGATAATTTTTTTTGATTATTAAATTTTCCAAATTTATTTTTTTGTTAAAGTCAGTCCGATTTTCTACTAGGAATGAGAAAGGTTCTATTCCAGTATCTACTTCAGCTTCTTAAAGTAAATTAGAATTAGAAGCGTCGACTTAATTTATACAAATAGAGCATGAGATGTTGAAAATTTTTAGCAGGGGTAAAAAAAATTTTTTAACCTTAAAATAAACTTTCAAGACTCACAATACTCATTCAGGATTCTTACAAAACTTCTAAAAAGAGAATATGATAAAGCAAAATGCAAAGGTTTATTTATAAACAAATTGTGCAACTCGTGATTAGTAAAAGATTCTAAACTTTAAAACTTGTAACTAGACTAAATCAACTGAACAGAAAACATGTATTTATGTTTTAAGTGATGAATTATCAAGAACTGTGAAATATTTATACATTGATTAATTCTACTCATCATTTCATATTTATAGTACTCGAAATATTATGCAAGATGAAAAAGAAATTAAAAATGACGAGCAGAATGATAATTTGGATAATGATTCCAATGATAAAGCTTCATCTCACAAATCTGAATTTCAAGAAACAAATAATCTATGTTATATAGTATGGCTTCAATAGGTTTCCCTTATATTTATTCTGTGAAATTGTTCTATTCATTTTAAATGTAAGGTAATTATCTTTTATGAGATGATAAGATAAATTTATATTTTTTTATTATATGCCACAGAAGTATAAACTATATTTGAATAAAAAATCGAATCTATTTTTCGCAGTAAGCTTTACAGAAACCCATCAATTTTGAAAAATATGATAAATATATTACTGTTAGATAGCAATTGTATGTTTAGCATATAGTCAAAATATTTCAACGTTTGTAATATGATTATAAGATGATTAACAGAAGTATAAAATATGTTTGTAATATCTTTTATATATGCCGAAAATTGAGTTTAAAATTTATACACAATAGCATTTAATAAAATAATACAATCATTATGCAAATAAAAAAAAAATTCGTACATAATATATAAATATATTTTTATGATATCATTATCATATTTTGCAAATATTAGCATCATAAATAACAATATTCAGATGTCAATATATGAAAATGCTTGGAAAATACAATGCTATCTTAATATTCATTTTCAGATTGAGACTTCAGAGAATAATTTGTATTACACATCGTCACATCGTTTTGGTATTGAATTATTTCGTTTCTAAGAGAACTAAAATTTATAGATAGAAAATATAAAGCAATTTTATAAATGTATTTTTCTAATTCATTTACAACAACACTAAGCGATACATTTACAATAATAAAAACAGAAATTACTTTAATATAACGAAAATATTTGATAAAATAAAATTTTACCCATTATTAATGATTTGTTGCTGATTTGCACTTGTTTAACCCAAGAGTTCGCGTACTGATAATTCCTTTACTACACCAGGTTTTGTAGGGATTTTTAAGTCAAATGTGATTTCATCACATGTTTTAATAACCTGTTGTGTATCCTCTCCCATTATCATGGCTATCAAGACCTTTTTAGTGACCATTCGTACGAAGATGCCAAGTTTGGTAACAATTAATTGATCCTTCCTCAGCTTCGGTTGATCAGTTGCCTTTAAGTACATCAGAAGCGTCTGTTTCACTATTTATTGATTGAAATATTAATTAATTTCAATCAATTAATAAGAAAAAGAGTAATTAAACAAAATCGTTGAATACAAATCTTTTATGTGTTGATAAGAATCCAGTCGCGAGCTTCACAATGGCAACATGCAATCTGTAATGGTACATGTTGTACTAACTACCTACATCTTTAACCAGTGAACCTAATCTATCATCAGTTTTAGAAATATTACACATGCGTATAATTAACTCTTCATATAAGTCAGTTGAATTATTTCTTGTTCGAAGAAATAGAGCCTTGCATTTTTCTTGTAATTGATTTTTGGTATGCTAATTTGAAATAAAGTAAATTAGTTAGTATTTAGCATAATATTATCTGCAAAAATATCATCGTTACTACCTCCTGAGAAATTCCCGGAAGTGATTGTTGTGGTAACACATTACTATGTTGTAATGTGGTTAATGTCAAAGTCGTCCCATCAGTCCCAATCCTATTCATCAGCCCATTTCGAATATTTATTGCCAGCTCCAGAACACTTGTATGGTGAGCTAGCCAATAAGCTATTTCAAATTCATTGGACATGCTTTGGTAGCTTTAGCTGTAAATCAACTCCGATATCGATGTCATCAATTTCCCATCGTATTCCTTCCACAGGTGACTTTCGAAATAATTCTTGTACACGAAGACAATCTTGTCCACTATTATTGTTATTATTAAGTAATGTCACAACAGAAACAGACGAACTTAAATCTTCATCGTCATCTGATAAAATATATGGCGATGATTTCCATTGACCCACGCTTATTTCGTTTGATAATAAAGAATTTGCTGATGATTTCTGTTGGTTTTGTGCAGGAATCGGATCAGCTTAATTACCATCGTTTGGTAAAGAATTTGCTGACAATTTCTGTTGGTTTTGTGCAGAAGTCGGATTATTTGCTGGAACCGGGCTTGAATCCTCTGAAGGTTCCTGTTTCTTTTTCTTTTTATTATATTGTCTTTTAGTTCTCTTTATTTTTTGTTGCATTGGCGGGAACCGGGTTTGGATCTTCTACCACTTTCTGATCAGTATTTTGCTTCTTACTTTATCGTGTAATCCTCGTTTTTGTTGCTGGAGTTGTTGCTACCGGAGTTGAACTTGCTGCCTTATCATTTAATGAATTATCTGTAAATATTTCAAAAAAAGAAGAAAAGAAGATAAAACAATATAAGTAAATAAAAAAAAGAATTTAATGATATGTAACATACTTTCAGCTGCTACCGCCGCAGCTAATTCGCTGGATAGTGCTAATGCTAAAGTATTAAAAGTAATGTTAAAGACAGTTGACAGGAATATTTGAAATATTTGATTATTTTTTTATTTTACTTACTAAATTTTCGTTTACTAGCCATATTAAAGACTTTTTTTTCGCTGTAAAGAAATTTTTTGAATCAATCGCAAAAAGAATTATCTTAATTTTCTTGATTTATATATAAATAGGCGCTGTAGTTTAGTCCTGATTAATTAACGCTATCCTAATTTATATTAAAGTCTGTTTCCATAAAATTCTATAGACGCAATAAACAAAAGCCTAATAAACAAACAAGGCAACGAGGCAATATGATTTAATAAAGTTAGTTCAGTTTTTTAGCAATAAAATTAAATCTGTTTTAGTTAGTTCGATTTTAAACATCAATATTTTTTTTTTTTTTAAAAAAAAAATTAATCTGTTTTCAGTTAGTTTAGTTTTTAATGATGGTCGACAAATAATGTGGATAATTATTTTTAAATAAAAATTTGAAAGCAACCAAAAAAATTATTTTATCTAACTAGAACAAAAAATTTTTACGATTCAAAATTATCACCATTGGTTATTTTTATTAGTTACCAACTAGATTAGGTTGGTGTGCGGCGACTTTGTCGTCGCTAGTTATGGTTATTATACTGCTTTAGTTGTAATATATCCTTTATTAAGTTATCGCCGTGATGTTCATCCGAAGTGCCGCGTCCGCATTCGTCCGAAAGGGCGGAATCGGCCCTAACCTATAAAATCGAAAAGAATATTAATTAACAATAAAATAAACAATATAACATACCTGACTGCGCCTTTGCAATAAGCCAAAGTGGTAAATCTACTGATCTAACCTATAAAATCAAAA